GGCACCGGAGGGTCCAGGGTGGGGGCCACAGAAAGGCTTAGCCTTGGGCCAGGGAGGGCAGAGCCAGGGGTGCTGGCCCACGTGGGGGAAGGGGGGGTGAGGAGCAGAGCGTGGCCTGGACACTGGCCGCCCTCCTTGCACCTTCACTAGAGGTTCTTTGCCCACCACTGTTTCCACAACTCCAGGTGCTTGCACCCTGGGTGAAGGGGTGGAGGTGGCATTTGAGATGGTATTGTTGCACCTGCCACACTGCGGGCCCCCAGCTGGTAGGTTTTACTGGATGTGCTGCTCCCTACCTGAGGCCGTGGACAAAACCTGAGGGACATGGCACCAGCCTCACGGAGACAGGGCACAGTGTGATGGTGTGGCTGAGGCACCAGCCTTGAGGGACACGGGCATGGGGGGCATTTGCAAGCACAGGGGCTGTTGCCCTCACCAGCATGTCCAAGCAGTGAGGCAGTGTCAGTGGCCCCTTGTCCCAAGAGAAGAGTGCAGCTCCTGTTAGCACACACTCAGCACCACCCTGGCAGACTCTTTCTCGTGTCTCCAGTGGGACGGAGCATGCACAGGGCAGCTCCAGCACCCTTGCAGCTGTTGCTGCTGGCACCAACCCTCTGGCAGCAGAGCCTCGAGGGCATGGCAGGACTCATGGGGGCTGCACCCCGTGGGTCCCCACAGACTGCTCAGTGCCACACTGAGGAACAGCCAGACCGCAACTCTGGTCATGGTGCCCTGTGCTGACCATGCAGGATGGGCACACAGCTGTGCTCTGCCATGCATGCTAGGGAAAGGACCCCCAGGCACCGGAGGTGGCCGTCCAGCCCCGGCACGGGTCCGGCTGGACGGAACAAGGAGCACCCCATGGCCGGTGGTCGGAGGGGCGGGGCTGCAGCCGTGGTGGGCACGGGGCGGGTGTGGGGCTGGGCAGCGGGAATGCAGCACACAGGCACTTTGTTCGGCTGGGGTGGGCGGAAGTCAGGGCGTTGGATCTGAATGCTAAAGTGTGTTGTTCAGGGGCCGATAAAGGCCCCATTGTATGTAAATAGTTTATAAAGCAGCATATGACTTCCAGTGCAGGGCAGTGGCGGATAGAG